TTTTAATTTGAAATTTGCACTCCGAATCCTGACTGAAGTGATCAATTTGAGGTTTAAAAGTGTACGTGGACATAGACGGGTCTCTCACATTTTATTAATATTCTGACAGCAATAGCATAAACCCTAAAACCCAAAACATGTGTCACTTTTTAGTTGTGCACCACTGCAGCCTTTCTGTGAAATGCGCTCGTAGGAAGCAGCTGTGCCGTGTGTATCACAGCAGATAGAGAGGGTAAAACAAGCAGGCATTTCCTGATGGCTACCTTCCTGCATTTCTGGCCAACAATAACACCATTGGCACACCTAATAATAAGGAACTGAAAGGCAATGCTAGAGGCCAAATTACAGGTCAGGATGTGGAGTTTTTCTGGAGATCTACATCTGGCTGTGGCCTTGGGTAAACATGAGACTTTATCAAAGCATCACTTCTCTAAACATAATTAACAAAGAAGTCACAGACAGATATGTGACAGCAGATAATGTGCTTGCTTTCCATCTCAGTGGCATTGTTTCGGTGGAATCTCTGGAATTTGGTGTTTTTTGTATTTTCTTACCGATTCAGCTCATAAACCAATTTGATGTAAGGTCTGGCCTTGTATTAAGCAACCACTTTGCCAGAACTCTTAAGGGACAAATCTGTTCCATTAAAATGACCGGCGATGTGCTAAATGGGGGAAAATAATCCCTCCCAGGATGCGGATGATGCAGTCAAAGGTCTTGACGTGGCAGCTGGACTGGTGTATTTCCTCCTACACAAACTGACATTAGCTGACATTAGAACGTCTCTCTACATTCCCTTTGGGTTTAAAATATTACAAATACGACAAACTACAGGGAGGAAAGTGCTGCAGTACAGCAGTACTTTAATAATCTTTTGAACAGAGATTCATTTTAATTATAACGGATGGTTGAGAATAATAACACGTCCCTGCACGGAGCCTGACCCCATGCTTTTTGGTGGCCCTCAGTAAAAAGACAGATAGCTCTTACATTTGCGATGAGAGGTATTGCTAAGGCAGAGCTGACCTTCCCAGAATATTCAACGCAACAAATTATTTAAAGATTAAAAAATGAATTAATGAGTTATCTTCTCATGAGTAATGCACCAAGAAAAACATTTTTGAATTGTGTTGGTGTGTTTTCATGTGCGTGTGTGATTGATTGCTGGTTTTGATGCTGGTTCTCTTTAACATGCATGACTTCAGAAATCTTTGATCATCTTAATATGTGTGATGATAATCCCTAGAAACCCTTTTATTCAACCCCTGATTGTGACACTGTCATCTTTTGATGTTTATCTTTAAACACATAGTTTATGTCTCTATCTCTCTGTTAGACACACACCAACACAACACACTCTCCAATTAGCTAAACATCATCTCTCCTATCTAAATAGCCACATGCATCTTCCTGTCTGTCTCTGCACAGTTAATGATAATGATTCATATTTTTTATGCATGACTCTTTGGCTTTTGTCTCTTTAAGTGCAAATCTATTTTTGCGTGGTAGCATGGTATAATATGTCTTAGCACATCGCTTTAGCAGACCATCCACCATGTCCAGATCCCCAGCCAAGTGACAGATCATTAGACTGTAGCAGTGAGCTAATTAACTCTGAAGCCAGTAGATCATACCTTCCTTCTGCATGCGTCCTTCCCATTCCTGAAATAATTGTTTGTGAGATGGATATTTTTAATACTTGCCTCTGACTGTAATGAATGGGATTCTATCAAAGCTCGGAGCATTTAGGCAATGACAACAAGGAGCTTAGTAAGTTAAAGAAGTAATACCACTGCTAGAGGATCTGCATAATGGGAGGATAAAAATGTTTTCAAGAAGTTTGATCACCATTAATTTAGGCTAGCCATAGATAGTTTATAGATGTTTTCTTTCAGCTAATTTTACATCTAGTAAAGCAAAACCTGAAACAAAATCAGACCCTGGATATATTGGACTGTGTCGTATTGTAACGTGTTGTGTGGTTTTGTTTTGTATTGCATCGTATTGTGTCATATCGTGTTGTGTCGTGTTGTATTGTATTGTTTAGTGTCATGTTGTATGGTGTTGTGCCATGTTGATATGTGTCATATCTTAGTGTGTTGTATTGTATTGTAAAGTATCATAATGTGTTGTGTTGTGTTGTTTGGTTTTGTTTCATGTTGTATTGTATCATTTAGTGTTGTATTGTGCAGTGTTCAGTTGTGTTGTATTGTGTCGTATTGTATTTTGGAGTCATATTGTATTGTGCCATGTTGTTGTCATGTGCTTTGTGTCATATTGTATTGTTTTGTTTTGTAATGTGTTGTTTTGTTTAGTGTTGTATGGTTGTGTGTTGTATTGTACTGCTGTGCCGACGGGGAGTGCGTCTTTTGCTGTCATCTTTTGTTTGCACAAATTAGCTCATCAGTGTTTACTGACTCTTTTTAAGTTTGCTTCCAACCAGAAATACTCCCTAACTGAAGAAGTAGTGTTCTTTTTAGATACCAATCTGCTGGTGCGCGAGCTGTCATGTTTCTCTTGGTCCGCAGTTTGGCGCTGTCACGTGATGAGATCATGTTCATAAACTTTATAGAATGTCTTTAAAATTAGAACAAAACATTTAAACTAAGTAAAACAGAAAATTCAACAATCCATCAATTTTATACATTACATAACCTTTATTTAACTTATTAATTTATTTTCATATAAAACATTTTTAGCTTTTTAATTTTATGACGGTATTGGAACTGACACAATAGCTATTTTTAACACCGACTGTATACGGTAATACTGTAGTACTGCCTAAGCTTATGTCGTATTGTGTTGTATCCTATTGAGTCGTATTGTATTGTGCCATGTTGTGTTGTTTTGTGTCGTATTATAGTGTTTTGTATTGTATTGTATAATATTGTAATGTGTTGTGTTGGTATATTTTTTGGTGGTGTGTTGTGTTCTTTTGTGTCGTATTGTAGTGCATCTTATTATATCATATTGTAATGTGTCATGTTGTTTTGTGTTGTGCTGTGTTGTTTTGTTATTTTGTATCGTATTGTAGTGTTTTATTTTGTATTGTATGGAATTGTAATGTCTGGTGTTGTGTTGTTTTGTGTAGTATTGTAGTGTGTTGGATTGTATCATATTGTAATGTGTTGTGCTGTTTTGTGTCGTACTGTAGTAGTTCGTATTGTATTGAATTATAATGTAATGTGTCATGTTGTTTTGTTTTGTGCTGTGTTGTTTTGTGTTGTGTTGTGTTGTATTGTAGTGATTGTCTAATTGTTTTGTATTGTAATGAGTTGTGTTGGTATTTTTTGCGTGCTGTGCTGTGTTGTTTTGTGTCATATTGTAGTGCATCGTGTTGTATCATATATTAAAGTGTGGTGTTGTTTTGTGTTGTGTTGTTATTTTGTGCCGTACTGTAGTGTTCTGCATTGTGTTGTTTCATATTGTAATGTGTCGTGTTGCTTAGTATTTTGCTGTGTTGTGCTGTGTTGTGTTATTTTGTGTTGTATTGTAGTGTTTTGTATTGTATTAAATGGTAATGTCTCATGTTGTTTTGTTTTGTGCTGCGTTGTTTTGTTTTGTGTCGTATTGTAGTGTGTTGGATTGTATCATATTGTAATGTGTTGTGTTGTTTTGTGTCGTACTGTAATAGTTCGTATTGTATTGAATTATAATGTAATGTGTCGTGTTGCTTTGTTTTGTGCTGTGTTGTTTTGTGTTTTATCGTAGTGGTTGTCGTATTGTATTGTATTGTAATGTGTTGTGTTGTTTTGTGTCATTGTACTGTTTCGTATTGTATTGTATTATATTGTAATGTGTTGTGGGTTTTTTTGTGCTGCGTTGTGTTGTTTTGAGTCGCATTGCAGTGCGTTGTATTGTACCGTATTGTAATGCATTGTGTTGTTTTGTGTTGTATTGTAGCGTTTTGTATAGTATTGTATCGTATTGTAATATGTTGTGTTGTTTTGTTTTGTGTCGTTTTGTAGTGTGTCATATTGTATTGTGCTGTATTGTATTGTGTCTTGTTGTATTGTATTGTATTGTATTATATTGTATTAAAGGCTACCCAAAACCTTTGCACAACATCCAAGGTCCTCTTGTTGCATATTTTGGCTGCTTATAGCAAAAAGTCACATTCATGGAAAAGTGCCCCAGTAATCAGAACCTTAAATGAGTCCCACACAGAGCAAAAAGTGACCCCTGCGTTGACAAACATGATTGCACAAGAGGCAAGAACATAACAATCACCACTGAGGCCATTATAATAATTAGGAACATACTGGTACCGATAATTCAAAGCAGACACTTGTACCTTCAGGTAATTGACAGAAATTCAAATTGAATTTTTTTTTTATGTTTGCTCTGTATAAATCAGAGAGCAAACATACAAATTGTGTTAAGAAACCTTAATAAACAAATAAACTGTGAACACATCTTCCCCCTATACCTCAGACTGATTTCAATCAGATCTAAAAGCTCAGTCAAAGAATACATAACCCAACAACTGATGCCTTCATATCTGATTGGACGGTTTAGTTTGTGTTTGACTAATCAATGTTTAATTTAGATCCAATAATAAAACGTTGAAATTTGAGTTTGAATCATGTGAGAGTAATTATGCACTTATATTTTTATGTTGGGTGGATTTTTTTCACCTCGATCTCTGTTGTTTGTAACAGAATTTAACAACATTTTAGGTTATTCATTTATTTTTAATGCCCGGTGGGTAAACAAACAAATGAATAGATTCTGCCTAATTTGTCAAACAAAACAGTTTACACTGATTAAAATTTCCCTCAGGCTTTAGCCTTGAAGTTTAATATTTACCACCTACCATAAGTGAGGTTATTTTAACTTCAATTAACAAAATGTAAATGTGCAAATCCCAGAAGTAACAGCAGCAACAGTCACAGCAGAGACGTACACATGGGAACTATTGCTCAGAAATAAATAAAGCATTTGCTTGCTGTGCATATGCAGCCAGATAGTAGATCTTGGATTTGTGTTTGTTTGTCCAGAGGGAGTGTGCGAGATCTGGTTGACCAGTGAGGACACGGGAGCTTACGGCAGAGACATCGGGACAGATTTGCCCACATTGCTGTGGAAGTTGGTGGAGGAGATTCCTGATGGAGCCATGCTGAGGCTTGGAATGACCAACCCACCTTATATCCTGGAACACCTACAGGTATTCTCACTGATTCTTTTCTGCACCACAGCAGGATCGTGTAACCTTTAACTGAGTCCTCACAACAATAATATACGTTTTATCATATCAGATGTTCTATTTTGTTCCCCCAAAGGAGGAAAAAATTCCCTCATTTTCTCTTTGTCTCCTCCACACAAAAACACAGGTTCTTCTAATTCCACCCAAACGTATAATCAAAAGAAATGATTCATATGTGATAAATTAAACAACAAGACCTGTTTCTTTTTATGATTTTGCTTTTCACTTGGTAGCCTTGTGTGCTATTCTCTCTGTGAATAACAATAATGCTTTGACAGGATTTAATAAGCTAAATGGCCTTTCTTTCTGCTTACCAAGCAGTTGTGCTTAAGACCTCTTCTTCCACTCATTAGTTCATCCTTTTCTTTTCTAATGAGTCAATTAACGACCATTGTGTCTCCTTTAGCTAACTCATTTTATCAGTTATTGTCTTCTCTAATGGAACATCGAACCTTGTTTACCCTTCTTATTCTTATAGTTATTCATGGGAATTTTCATGGGAAATGTGTTTTCCGTTGTGTATATTTTTATGCAAAAATCAACTAAAAGTAGTAGAATGGAAAACTAGTTCATCAAAAACAGAAAAAAGCAACTTAAAGTTAATTATGAACTTTATTATTTAAGTGGTCTTGTCAGTAAATCCATCATGGTTGAATTTTGAACAACTTTTTTAATATCATTGGACATGTTACTACCCAACCCCAAGGAGTAAAGGATGTTTTGGAGAGGGTTTTTCATCACGCCTAAATACGATTAGTAGAAATGTGGCACTTTTGAATTGACCTTTGACCTCCTACTGCTCTAAATCTTTTTATTGGCCTCATTGTTGGTTTTCTGACTCAGTTGTTTTATGTATATGTGATTATGTAAATCTATATGTGAGATGGGCTTTTCCTATCCAATAAAGACTTGACTGTGAAAAGAAAGCAGTTAATTAAATAAGTTAAATGCTAGTCTGATTATTTCACAGCGGTATATTATTTAGGTAGATGTATAAGCACACACTCCACTGTAGAGATGTTTAATATGAGTAGGTTTGCAGCGTCTTTACTGCAGTTAGCACCATGAGATAAAGACGCACCAAGATTAGTTTTTCATGCATTAGTGGACTTCATTTGTTTAATGCACCCTGTTGTTAAACGGAACCTATTATGCAAATCTGAATGCTTGCATCTTCTGTGCTGCCTTCTGGGTCTCTACTGCCTCCATAAACATCCATCCATTTTCTATCCATGGTTGATTTTAGGAAATATATGCCTAAAATGAGCTGTCTGTGATTGTGGCATCACAATTGAGAAAACCCACTGAAAATTTTCACCTGAACAACATGGCCGAAACAGGTCGTCAGGTGAACCCTGTTTTTGTGTTATCTTGCTCCGCCCTCATTTTTACAATTAACTCTTTGCTTCATAAAAATCGTTTATTCGTACTGATTTGGAAAGTAAAGGTTTTCCTCATTTAGTAATGCTGTTTCATTACAATCGCCGGGATGTTCATATCAATTATGTGCCGCACATTTACAAATGGTTACTTTATCAGTTTCACATCTACTGCGTCTGCCTGGCTTTTGCTTCTTCTTTTACATTCCCGCTACATCTGCCACCATCAGCAGTGCTTTTAACCATCCTTTCTAATACCACCATGTCCTGAACACGATGAAAATAGCATCATGTGTGTGAAGCGTGTTTACACTCATGAAGCAGACTGCAGCGTCACTTTCTTTCTCACTGGACGAGTGGATGTCTTCATCAGAGGGTGAATATTACTCTTCAGAATCAGAGTCCGCCATTACCCGACAGAGTTTTGTCAACAATGAACAGACCTGCCAGTGTTGTAAGTTTCTCCTCTCTAAAATCTAACCTGCTCGTCACAAGTTTTCAAACACTATAAACTCAGAAATTGTCAACAGAAACACACCCTAAAGGGTTGCTCAGATTTTAGTTACACATCTCCACTATCTTCTGGTGTGAAGTAATAACTTCATAAGGGATTATATTTGTCTCATTAAATGCAGTATTCACTTTTTTTGCACTTAGAGAGTTAATTTTACAGTCCTTTTAGTGCTACGGTTCTAATTATTGACTACATTTATTTTGGTGTTTCGGTTTCGACCAAGAATTTTCTTTTTGTCGCATCCCAAGAAGTTACTGAAACTTTCAAGAATCAAACTGCTGAAATTGTTTTATATGAGAGAACTTGTTTAGCTCAGACCAACTATTATAACTTTAAAAAAAAGCATGTCCCCTTTAAGGGATATGTTGTAATAGAACAGCCTATAGCTAAAATAATATTTTGCTTTCTTAAAAAACTAAGTAAAACACCTTTTAGCTTGAGAAATTACATATTGGGTAGTTTTAGGTCACAGTGCTCCTGTAAGCTTTAGTTTATTGTGTTGAGACCTATTTTACCCCAATCCACTCTAGACGCATCGGCGGTGCGGAACGGTTTACTCGTGTGCTTCGTGATGCATCAGTCCACATCGGTGGAGCCTCTCAGGCGCAGAGAAGCTTCTCCGCCGTCCTCTTAGAAAGAAAAAGAACATATTTAGCGCCTCTCAAGATAAAAATCACGAGGCGCTTCACAAAAACAAATTCAAAATATAAAAAATACATTTTTTAAATATGTTTAAAAATAGAAAAAAATAAAAATTGTAATTAAAAAAATGTAAGGGAAAGGGGGAGATAAAATGAAAAGGAAAAAGGGAAATCTGTGGATCCCGGGAAAGGCGGAAAAAGAGCAGAATAACGAAAGGGTGATGACAAAGGTCACACAAAAGCCAGCCTGAACAGGTGAGTTTTCAGCTGCTTATTAAAGGAGACAACTGAGTCCACAGATCTCAGGGGGAGAGAGGTCCAGAGTCTGGGGGCCTTTGGTCTTTAGTCACTGGACCTCGGGGACCTGCTGGGGGTGTAGGGACTGAGAAGGTCACCAATGTGTGATGGTGCTTCTCGTGCAATAACTTAAAAAAAAGTATGTTATAGTAATTGTGATACATTGTTTTATTCCAGTTTCCTAAATAAAAGTGTCTTCTAATGTTCTATATTATTCTAAATTAATGTTTATTTAACTTGTTCATGTTTTTCTTAAAGTATTATTATTATGGGATTTCTTTTAGCAGAACAGGGCCAGCATCCATAGTTCATCAGGTCTTTCTCTCTGATTTTCTGCATGAAAATAAATATTTGTGAAAAACCGTCAAACAAAAAAAAAAACTTTTGTTATCAGTAACACTTTGGTGTTTGGAGTTTTAAACATTTTCAATGAGTGCCCTATTTAAAGATTAAACCACTTAGTTTTTAAAAGTAGTTACTCTCTGGAAAACGTTGTGTAGTCATGTAAAAAAACCAGATTAAGACCGTGAAGATGACTTTTGTACTTTAAACAGTAATTATTGCTGATTTGAAATGCATTTTTAAAATTTTAGGTGAACTGCCTTTCATTTTGGCTTTAAGTTTAAAACATTTGAATGAAATTGACTTGCTTATCACTTGTTCAAGCGTTTGATCTTATGTAGAAATTAGGTTTGGACTGGTGTAGAGCTTTCCTTCGTGACTTAGGAGGGAATAATTTAAATGCATGTGATTTATTTTCCTCTATTTTGCTTTGTTGGTAAACCATATCCCTGCCTATCAAAACAATGTTTTTCCCATAAGAGTGGTGCTGTCTCCTCTGGATGTGAGGATCAGTAATGTGTCTTGAAATCGGGTCTGTTTTTGCTTTAAATAGAAGTTAAAGAGGCCTGATTGCTGATCTATAGAGCCAAAGTAGCATACAGCGACTGATTATTATAATTCACCTACAGATCTTTGAGTGATTTTTTTTGTTAGTTTACAAAATTAACGTAGCTCAGTTAGCATACTAGCATCCGCAGTTTCAGCTGTGATGAAAATTAGCATAGAAATAAAATCCGAGGATAAAATAGATGAGGCAAAATGTGGGTTGATAATGACCCAGAATACACTTTTTTTTCAGTCCAGTAAAGCTCAAAACATATATTTTGATTTAAAGAATGGAGGATGATTAGGATCATAGATAAATAGAACAAGGACAAGTGATAAGAGAATGGGGATAAAGGCCGGGGGATAGAGACGAGGGGTAAGGGGGAGTATTAAAAAGTGCTGTGGGAAGCAGCAATGGAGGTTGTAATTAACCAGGGGTTAATGGAGGTGGCTAATTGTCCCCCTCATGTATAGGTAGACTTTCTGCTTGGCTACATTACAATTAAAAACCACCCTCCTAATGATAGAGAATAACAATTAACTGATAATTAGAAATATACTTGGACGACACACTCGTCCGGTCTGTGTGTACGTTAAGAATCATTTCAACTCTTTTATTGTTAACGTCCATGCGGTGAATTGAATTATAGCTTTTCCCCCTTTTTTGCTTTAATTCCTCAGTCAATTAACCTACATAAAGAAATAGGAACGGTCTTCTTTAACATGCCATTTTCTGTCTTTCCCCCACTCTGTTTTCCTAATCTTTACTTCTTTTATCAACTATTGAGCTCCTCGTTTCCTCACATTTGTTTTTTTCCTCTCCACTGATGCATTTAAAAGCTATTATTTGCCCTGCATGAAAAATGTTTACAAAAGAAGTAAAACATAGTTTTCCCGTTGGCTTAATGCTTTAAGTTTCTTGTCTAACTTTATTTTTCGACTAATTAGTCTCCCACTTTCTCTAACCTTTCTTGTCATGAGGATTATTAAAGCCACACAAGTGGTGGGATGATTCGGTTCTCAGAAGTATATTTATCCATCGTCTTTAAGTAAAGGCCAAATAATACCCTGCTGTCCTTTCTTTTCTAAAGAAGACCACCACTTATATAACATCATTATGCTGAATGGCTGTGATTGAAGCTGAAAAGGCCAAGTAACTTCACCACTACCCTGTTAAAGATCAAACTCTCGCACACATACAGATCAGCGCTTGTGCTCTGTCTCCTCCTGTCACACCGGAGC